CCGGCACTGGTGTGTGTGCACCTTTGCCAACTCAGTGAAATGAACAGCAGCAGCAGTAGCAGCTGAGCCATCCGCTCGCCCGTCCACCCATTCCTGAGACGTGTTTTAGTTAGATGATAAAAAAACCGTTCGTGAGCTCGGGGCATGGCGAGACGGACTGAATGTCGGTGGGCAAAGGCCGGCGACAGGATGGCAAGCCAAACAAGATAATCGTGGCCGAGAGGCTCCCTCCCCATCACCGTGGAGATGGTGTGATGGGATCAGTCGGTGTGCACGAGCGAGACGGACCGCGTGGCGATCGCTGAGCCGTGAGCGATGGTTTTGGAGAGGTCTTCATTCATGACAAACATTTCTTATTGTTTTGTCTTGTTGATTTTGTGCGTCTTATTATAGTTGTGTGTGGTCTAAACTTGAGGCCAATAATATACAAAATATTTACAACCCCTTGAGTCAATCCACTACTGCATGGGTGGGGAACGTCCGGCCCACGGGCCGTATAAGGCCCGCGAAATCATTTGGTCTGGCCCTGCCAAGGCAACCGCAGGCGGGACTCGAAATTCAATGAATCTAGGAGCAAAACTGGAAAAGCAGTTGCGAGTAGCAACATCATCAATACCAGCTAACATCACACGCCTCACCAAAGAGAAGCGGTTCCAGCCATCACATTAGGGGTGAGTTAATTAAATGTTTGACCACATATAACAGGCAAATTTTAAAGTTGATAATTTTGCATGGCCCTCGAATGATGTTGTAAATATCCAAATGGACCTTGGCACAAAAAAGGTTCCCCACTCCTGCACTACTGATTTAAGACATCCCTGGCGCCGTGCCAATAATAATGCGGTTGTTAGACCATACTTCACCGCCCTGGTCAGTGCAATCGAGGAAAACGCACTGGGTTCCCACGCACACACAACCTGTTCAATAAATCACCGAGTGCCCATTGATGTTAAGAGCCGTGGCCTGGAATCGAACTCGGGTCATCCGCCTCTGCGCGGCACCATTCCCTTGTTTGTTGGCAACTTAAGAATCCCACGGGTTATTTAAGGCTGCGACACTTCAAGCCGGCGGGCAACGTAAGCTGAGCGTGAGAGTCAATTCATCATCGTTTCTCATCACCGCTCGTATGCAGAGAGCGGCGACGTGCGGGGTTGTAGCGGCCCCTAGTGGCCGTCCAGAATCGTCCGACGGTTCACAGGTCACCCGAGCGCAACGCGTCAACAGCGTCAACAGCGTCTGTGCGACGTTATGTTGGAAACTTCTTTCGCACCGCACTGGACTCTAAGCGGAGGTGCAGGAGGCAAAGGGCAACGAACGGAACGCACCAACAGGCAGTTATAAAGACATTAGTTTCCCCAATCTAAGTTATTTAAAAGCGCAGAGCTCCCGGTGGCTTCCGACTATCGGAAGAAAGAGAGCGTTCCAGACGGCCGCAGAAGCGCATCTGAAAGCGCCGCGCGATGCGGTGACCGCCGTTTTTGTTCGACGGTGTTGCAGCCAAAAGCCTCCGCTGCTGCCGCTGCTGCGAGGATGACCACCGGAGTTGGCGTGGTGTGGGTTTGTGCTCTTTGACGAGATCAGCAGCAAGGGAGTGTGGCTCATTTGTGGCGAGCAACTTTGCGCGAAATGAATGCGACCTTATAACACATTCCTGCGGAGGGAGCTGGTAGGAACGTTGGGTTGCTCGGTCAATGGCCAGGGTCAACGGCGGCGTGGTGTATTCCGCAAATATGCCCGACTGTGAGGGCGCGCACAAGCCGGCGTGAGTAGGTTAAACGTTGAGTTTTATAAGGGCACCACAGGGTGACCAGCCCCTCCCCACCCAGCCCCTCCCCACCCTCCCCACCCGCCCCACCCAGCCCCTCCCCACTCTCCCCACCCAGCCCCTCCCCAGCCTCCCTTCCCCACCCAGCCCCACCCTCCCCACTCTCCCCTCCCCACCCAGCCCTTCCCTCCCCACCCAGCCCCTCTCTGCACGACGGACACAATAATCCCCTGTGGGCTGGTGTAACCAGGAGGTTCCTACCAGTAATATAAACAGTGGCCTATATAATACGCGACGTTCCGGGCAATGGCTCTTCTTCATCACACACACATAGACCGGAGAGAACGAGAGAGATAACGGTGGATAATTAAAGTTGTGCAAGTCTCCAATTGTTTCTTATCCAGCTAAACACGTAGGCTTTCGCAATCGAATCTGGCTGTCGCCTGATGATGCTGGTTGTAATTACTGGCGAAACGTCGTACTCGAATTTGTAACTGTTGTGGGTTTAGTCTCCCAACACACCGGGTGTGCTGTACGAGTAACGAATTTGGGCATCTTCTTGGTTCTTTCGGTAAAGTCACGTAGAAGGGAAGTAATAAAATAATAAAAATAAAACATAATAAAATAAAATAATTCTCACGACGTTTCGGCTACAACGCAAGCAGCCGTCTTCATGTGAAGAAACCTGAAGACGGCTGCTTGCGTTGTAGCCGAAACGTCGTGAGAATTATTTTATTTTATTATGTTTTATTTTTATTATTTTATTACTTCCCTTCTACGTGACTTTACCGAAAGAACCAAGAAGATGAATCCCTGCAGTCACGAAAGCTTTAAATCGGAATTTGGGCATGTTTTGCATACGTGACAAAATCTTTACTAATTGGCTGTGTCGGGTGGTGGCGGGTTCAACGACGCACATTTATACTCCCCCCCCCCCCCCCCAAAAAAAAAAACTCGATAACAGTGCCGGATTATCGTAGGAGCAAAAGTAGCTACATATGCTACGGGCCCGCACTTTCAAGGGCCCCGCGCTAAATTATTTCAAGCTCTCACTTCCGGTTCAGTGACTCTGCACTTGCTCTATTACTATAGTACTATACCGCCTTCAAGTTTTATCAACGACTGGGTGTTTAAGGTTAGCTATTTGTCCTATTATCTGGCTGTATAGCAAAGAAAAAAATACAATTACTCTACTATGCAAGTTTACGGTGTAGAAAGAAGTTCAACAAACATTCGTACAAACAGCAAATAAAAAACTCAACAAATTCCTCAAAAAAACAGCTACCGACATACATATATACCTATCTGACCTATCTATGTGCCGTGGAGAAGGGCCATTTCCTGAAACGTCACCTATTGTCTACTTTTCTTTGTGTTGTTGACGCATGGTTCTGCGGTTGTTTTTACTTTTCTCTGCAGTCCATGATTTGTGTTTGTTCCCTGATCCACGTCTTCCTCTCTCTGTCCCCTCTCTGTGTCTCAGAAGCGTGCATCGTCATCTTATTGCATGCAACCTTGGTCACAAACATTGCATGCAACGTTGGGCCAACATTGGGCCAATGTTGGCATGGTTACTGGGACGCTACTTTGCACAACATTTTGGCAGGATCGGCATTAGTGTACGTGTTTCTCATGCAGACGCCATCGTGGGTAAGATGCACTTATTGAATATATTATTTACGAAGTGTGTGGCTATATTGGCGCTAAATGCTTTCAAGCTATCAATTTCGGTTCAGTGAGTCTGCACTTGCTCTATTACTATAGTACCAGGCCGCCTTCAACTTTTATAAACGGCTGGGCGTTTAAGGTTAGCGATTTGCCGTAATATCTGAGCATTCTAGCAAATAAAAAAATACAATTACTTTACTGTGCAAGTCAGAATTTTGTGTTTTAATATTTATGCTTTTTTTAATTTAGGGCCTCTTTATAACACATGCTACAGGCCCCCACACGAGCTTAATCCGGCACTGATCGATTATATATACACACTTTTTCTGGCATAAGGTATTCCAACGGTGTTAATGTAATTTTGGGGTGCTGATTCCAAATCTGGCATCAGTTTTTGTCTATCACATCAGGTTTTTGAGATATCAAATATTGCATTTTCAATAAAAACTGCAGAAGAAAAATATTAAATAAATGTGGATATCTACATAAATAGGATATTATAAACACACTATCCTAAAAATACAGCACCTGTATTTTAACACTAAAGCAGTTAACTGACTCGCAACAACTTGCAATCATAAGTGACAGAGTTAATTTCGGGTAAAATCAATGAAAATGGGGTATGCCGATAGCATAAAAATGAGACGTGATAGAGCAAATCTGAGATCAGATTTGGAATCAGCACCCTGAAATTAGTCTAGAACAGCTGTAAAAGTCCAGGCCAGAAAAACACGTTTTTTGTTATTGACCAGTGTAATGTTTCATATCCACTCCATCCCTCTGCCGAATCAATCTTGACCGTCCCGTGCCCACGCACCGTCGCCCTCAATGATGCAGACGTCAGCGCGCATCACAGCGCAACGCGAACGACACGGAGGTGGGGGGGGGGCGCAAGTGAAACGTGGAACGTTGTGGTCTCAACGTTGGCTCAACGTTCACCGTCTATAATTTCGTCGACCTCAACGTCAGCTCGCGATTGACGCTCGCGCTGTCGGTTCAGGGACGATGACGTCACACGCCTTTTAACAGTGACGTCAGGGTGGGGCCCCGCGGCGCGATGACGTCACACGCTATTTAACAGTGACGTCAGGGGGAGCGAGGCACGCGACGCGATGACGTCACATGTCATTTAACAGTGACGTCGAAGGGAGGGGGGCCCCACGACGCGATGACGTCACACGCCATTTAACAGTGACGGTCTGGGTGAGGGGGGCCCCGCGACGCGATGACGTCACACGCCATTTAACAGTGACGTCGGAGGGAGGGGGGCCCCACGACGCGATGACGTCACACGTCATTTACCAGTGACGTTGGGGGCAGGGGGGCCCCACGACGCGATGACGTCACACGCCATTTAACAGTAACGTCGGGGGGAGCGAGGCACGCGACGCGATGACGTCACACGCCATTTACCAGTGACGTCGAAGGGAGGGGGCCCCGCGACGCGATGACGTCACACGCCATTTAACAGTGACGTCAGGGGGAGAGGGGGGGGGGTCCCCGTGACGCGATGACGTAGTGCGCTGGCGCGACTTCCCGAAACGCATCGCCAACGTCGGCACGCGTGACGTCATTTATGGACGGCCCCTTGACAAGGAGACCGCGTTGTCCCATTACTTTGACTCGCCACACACTGACTTACGCGGTGCAGTGCAGTCACTGCGGCTACGTCGATTACGCAACCTCGAGTTGACTAACGAGTTGTGGGACCAATGTGAATGATGCACGGCCACACCCAGCAAACATCCTCCCGTTCTCGCCCTGCGACACAAAGACGCTGTCGTGGTGGTTAGCGAGCACCTATTATTATGAAGGTGTCTCTCGCACACACAGCCTAGCGAGCGGGTTGCCACGGCTGCGTTTGATTTGACAACACACACACACACGCGCACAGCTGCTGCTGCTGCTGTTGTTGGCGTAGAGAGTTAGCAATGTTTGTGGTGCCGTGAACGTGAGCCGAATGCTTCGAAGGTAAGTTCGGGAGTTTGTAGTGTGTCTCTCGTCCAGCAGTGGATTGACAAAACAGAGTTGCACGCGAACACGGATAATGTTGGTGGAGCGGTGTGCGAGACGTTGATTGCCTCGCTTTGTATGCAGAAGGGCGTGGGTTCGATCCAGTGCAGGATTAAGCTCATGCGGGGCCTGTAGCATATGTTATGAAGGGGACATAAATAAATAAGTAATATTAAAAAAAACTTCTTTTAAAACACGCTTTAATGAAATGTACCGTACGAGTAATGGCAGAACTCCACGACTCCAGGAAGTGGCCCCGAGGCTTGCCATAACGTAAGGGGATGTGTCCAATTACAGCCAACGTCAGTTGAGCGTGGACAATTAGACCCAAGCCGAAACGTAACATATAAAAATATTTTTAATTTTTTTTATGATAGAATATAGTATTGTCATCAGTATGACATACGTATACCAAACTCTTTGGTTCTTTCCGTAAAGTCACGTAGGTATAAAATAAAATAGATCACGACGTTTCGGGCGTAACACAAGCGTCCGTCATCAGGTGGGAAAGCATGGTCTGCTGCTGATGAAGACTGTTTTAAAGGGTTTTAAATGGGTGTAGCTTAAGGGTCATAAAGAAGTGGCCAGGGCTAGTGATGTTAATGTGAGAGATTAGCATGATGTTAATGTGAGGGATTAGCATGATGTTAATGTGAGAGATTAGAGGGCACGGAAGTGGCTATGTTAATGTGAGAGATTAGCATGATGTTAATGTGAGAAATTAGAGGGCATGGAAGTGGCTATGTTAATGTGAGAGATTAGCATGATGTTAATGTGAGAAATTAGAGGGCATGGAAGTGGCTATGTTAATGCGAGAGATTAGCATGATGTTAATGTGAGAAATTAGAGGGCATGGAAGTGGCTATGTTAATGCGAGAGATTAGCATGATGTTAATGTGAGAAATTAGAGGGCATGGAAGTGGCTATGTTAATGCGAGAGATTAGCATGATGTTAATGTGAGAAATTAGAGGGCATGGAAGTGGCTATGTTAATGTGAGAGATTAGCATGATGTTAATGTGAGAAATTAGAGGGCATGGAAGTGGCTATGTTAATGCGAGAGATTAGCATGATGTTAATGTGAGAAATTAGAGGGCATGGAAGTGGCTATGTTAATGCGAGAGATTAGCATGATGTTAATGTGAGAAATTAGAGGGCATGGAAGTGGCTATGTTAATGCGAGAGATTAGCATGATGTTAACGTGAGAAATTAGAGGGCATGGAAGTGGCTATGTTAATGTGAGAGATTAGCATGATGTTAATGTGAGAAATTAGAGGGCATGGAAGTGGCTATGTTAATGCGAGAGATTAGCATGATGTTAACGTGAGAAATTAGAGGGCACGGAAGTGGCTATGTTAATGTGAGAGATTAGCATGATGTTAACGTGAGAAATTAGAGGGCATGGAAGTGGATATGTTAATGTGAGGGATTAGCATGATATTAATGTGAGAAATTAGAGGGCACGGAAGTGGCTATGTTAATGTGAGGGATTAGCATGATGTTAATGTGAGAAATTGGCATGTAACTGTAGAAAAGAAAGAGAGCGGCCTCCTCGACGAGGGAGTGCAACCCAACGGGTGCAATCCAAAGGGCCTGTGAGCATGAGAGATTCTAAGAGAGAGGCATAGAGAGAGAGAGACACAGAGAGTCGAATTAACAGCTGACATGAGCAGGTTGGATGGAAACATCACAGTCAGTTAAGACTTTACCTGGTTAATAACGTCCTTCCAGGCTTCCAACGATTGTTCAGTTTGTACCCATCCTCTCGGTTTTCTGTCAATAAAGATGCTGAAACACCAAATAGATACCTTTTACAAGGCGTTGAGTCTGCATTAACTTGCTCTGATAATTATCATACTGAAAATGGCATTGTCTCTGAAACTGATTTGCCTACACAATACCAAAGAGACGGTCTTCTTCATGGTCCAGTCTCATGAGTGTCAGACGAGAGAACAACGCCAAAAGGCGAACAGTAACAAAGACAATGACTTTCCCATGTTATTATGACCTTTGGGCTCTGTAGTATTGCTATTTCCTAATTTGGTGCATGGCGCACACTGTATTTAGTTTTAGATTTGAAGCTTTCGTGACTGCAATGATTCATATTCTTAGGTTTTTTCGGTAAAGTCACGTAGGTAAAAACATTAAAAAGTAAAATGTGTTGCCTCCGAAACGTCGTGATTTTTATTTTATTTTACTTTTTAATGTTTTTACCTACGTGACTTTACCGAAAAAACCTAAGAATATGTATTTAGTTTGTTTTCCTTCCCCCACATTTTCGATTAGCCGCCGTGGGCTACGTACGGTGCGAAATAAGTTCAACATGCATACGAGTCAATTTGGGAAATCCAATTTTCCCCTCTAATTTTTAATTACCATTTCGTTTTGTGCTCTTTCTCCTTCGCCGCCGTTGGCTTCACCAGCCTCAGTCGGCTTTTTTCAAACCGCGGGCGGACAGACAGACGACAGCACCGTTTTCCCTCCACGTGGAGCTCGGCAAGCCACGGGGATGGAGGAGAGATACGTCGCCTCGATGGTTCTGAGCGGCGTTGGTGATGCTCTGGGCTACCGCTCCGGCTCGTGGGAGTTCTGCCACAGCGGCGAAAAAATCGCGGAGGAGCTTGCCGCCTTGGGCGGGCTGGCCAGCCTGCACCTCACCCCTTCCGGCAGGTGGCCCGTGAGCGATGACACGGTCATGCACCTGGCCACGGCGGAGGCGCTGGTGAACGCGTCCGCGAGGGCCGATGCCGTGGGCCCCGATGGACCGCTGTACCCGGAGATCGCGCGGTGCTACAAGGCGTGCATGAGTGACATGAATGGACGGGCGCCAGGTACCTTGAATTAAAAAAAAAAATAAAGATATATTTATATTTTTTTAATGTATTTCCCCAATTCCATCGCAATATCTTTCACGCTAACTAACGACCGTGATGCCACGTGCGAGACGTACGCGTGCGGACGTATACAGCGGCACATCAAGGACGGCAGTGACATCGACACGATGCTTGTTGCCAGGCTACAAGCGCTTTGAGGACACTGGAAGTGTTATTGAATCTCAACACATTTGTCAATAACACTGTGGCCTTTAAACAGACAGGCAATACGGTGTTACGTAATAGGTGACGATTGGGGTAATGGACCTTCTTCAACGCACATACATCAAGGGTCATTGCCACGTAACTTCGCGTTTAATAAAAAAAATATCCTTTGAAGGCCATGGTTTTGTTGATATGCATGTCGAATTTTGTCGTTAATTTCGCTTGTGCACCACTGATCATTTAATTGTAAAGTGTCGAAGGCGAGCTAGTAGGAGGTAACGAGACAGTTACCCGGGTGGTGTGGTTTGGCTGAGATAGCGATTACACGACCACAAAAGACAAAGATCCCCCATATAGCCTGAACAGACTGTTGGGGCAAGTGCTGTTAGCGAGCACCTATGAAGGCCGGCAACAGTACACGAGGGGGTGGGTGGCCAGCACCACGCCTGGCCGCCTTTACCTCCCAAGTGGCGATATTTACACACCGCACCAGGTACTCATTTGAGGCTGAGTCGACCTAGGAGGGGAGGCCCAGGACCGGTTCAAACACAGACGCGACTCTTATCGGTCGTGAGCGGAAATCGAACTCGGCTCGCCGGGTTCATAGCGCGCCGCGCTAGCCATTGTGCCACCGCTCCCCACGACCCCACGACCGCACGCACGCACACGCAGGTCTCACGTGCATGTCGGGAGCCCGATCGCTGCGGCCGTCCGTACGGCTGGGCTGGACGACGCCGTTCAACCCGCACGGCGGCGGCTGCGGCGCCGCGATGCGCTCCATGTGCGTGGGGCTGCGCTACCCGTCGCCGCGCCGCCTCGCCGAGCTGGTGGCCGTGAGCGTCGAGTGCGGCCGCATGACCCACCACCACCCCACGGGCTACCTCGGGTCGCTCGCGTCGGCGCTGTTCGCCGCGTACGCCGTGGCGGGCAAGCCGGCGCGCGAGTGGGGCGCCGGGCTCATGGCCACGCTGCCGTTGGCGGCTCAGTACGTGCGCGACGCCGGCCGGGACGTTGACGAGAACCTCGCCGCGTGGTGAGTGGGAAATTCATCGCGCGACAGCTAAACGCGTGGCATCTTGCGACAGCATTTGCGTAAACCGCTCTTGCTGCCATGCACCGGTGTCTCGAGTGATTTTTTGATCCACGGATCACAGGGTGGGGGGGGGGGGCGACCACAGGCGTAGCGCCTTTCCTTTCAGGGTCGCACTCCACTTCGGCATAGGCTAAGAGTAGCGCGTTCACCGCTTATTGCAGAGTTGTTCTTCCCTGTTTTTGTTGCCCTTTTTGTGACCCTTCTCCCACACTTCCGATTATCATGGTTGGCTATGTATGGTGCGAAAGAAGTTCAACATACCACTACCACTCACCGCTCATCACCACCAATGATCACCACCAGCACCACTGGCCTCCCACTCGTCACCTCCACTCGCCACTCATCGCCAACATTCGCCACCACCGCCACGACTCACCCGCTCCTCTTCTCATTCCAGGAGCTACTTCGAGGACAGCTGGCGCCGATACCTGGACATCCGCGGAATCTCCGACGGCGCGAGCGAGCCCTCGTTCCCGGCCGCTCACGGCACCGTGGCGGGGCGCGACGCCTTCTACAAAACGCTGAGCCACAGCGGCTGGGCCGGCGCCAGCGGGCACGACTCTACCATGGTGGCGTACGACGCCGTGCTCGCCGCCGGCGACTCGTGGAGCGAGCTGTGCGAGCGCGGCGCCCTGCACGGCGGGGACAGCGACTCGACCGGCGCCATCGCGGCCTGCTGGTGGGGTGCGGTGTACGGTCTCGCTGGCGTCCCCGCGGGACACCACCAGCAGCTGGAATACCGCAGCAGGCTGGAGATGGCCGGGCGCAAGCTCTTCAAGCTCGCCAACAAAGATTGCGGCGATTCGGGGGTGGGAGTGTGAAGCGGTGGTGGTCGGTTGGTGGTTTGGTGGTGGTCACTCCGTACGATTCCTGAAAGTGAGATTTCCCCTTCGTTCACCGCTGATTTACATCGCAAACTCGAAGGGGAAATTTCACTCGAGATATTTTGCGCGTCTGACTTTAATGGCGACCCGGAAAATATTGTACAGTGAACCTTGCACACCGCAACCAATATTATTATAATAGTACTACCTTTTTTGCCCGTTCAAGGACGGATGTATATTGCAGTAAATCTAATGAAAGGGGCGGCCTCTTTTTCAGTGACGTCACTGCACGGATGTAGCACTGTGCTGCGTAGATTATTTTTTACCGTTGCTTTCTGTAAAGAAACATCATATTTGAAGCGACTTTGGTATAACAATAATTCAGCTCGACCTGCTGCGTTCGTGTAAAAATCCACCCTCTCATGAATATTAAGGAGGGGGGGGGGGTGGCCCTCACGTGGAGTGACGTCACCCGGGGGGGTGGGCCTCATGTGGAGTGACGTCACGCACGGGACGGACAGACATTTCTGGGTGATTATAATTATCGTAGGTAATCGATAATTTGGTACATTTCCAATTCATCGCTTGTTGCAGAGTACCGCGGTTCGAATCTATCGGCCATCGCGGTTATGTCTGTAGGTATATTAATTGTAAATCAGTGAGCATGTTGATTGTTTACTTGCCGTGGGAGATTGGTGGAGGGTGGGGGAGGGGCGGTGTGTCATGTTTAACGCTGAAAATAAAAGTGCAGCCTTGCATACAGTTGTGTATGTGTGTCTGGTGGTGGCTCAGCAGTAGCGTGCTGCGCTATGAATCTGGCGAACCGAGTTCGATTCCCTCTTACGGCCAACACCAATGACGATTATCTGAACCGGTCCCGGTCCTGGACCTCCCCTAGGCCGACTCAGCCTCAAATGTTTACCTGGTGCGATGTGTACCCATTGCCACTCGGGAGACAAAGGCTGACAGGCGTGGTGCTAGCCACCCACCCCTCGTGTGCAGTGCCAGCCTTTATAGGTGCTCGCTCATAACACTTGCCCCAATAAAAGTCTATAAGGCTATATGGGGGATCTTTATTTGTATTGGACCATACCATGCCACTCAATGCGTCACCTCAGTCAAATGTCGGTGGATTGACCATCCACTCGATCATCCACTCAAACGACTAACCGAGTGTTTTCGTGATGATCAGTTTCCCGAATACTTAATAGTTGTTGCTCGAGTATAATTCAGCCGCATGAAGAATGAATAACCCAAGTGTGAAGGGGGAGGGAAGGCGTTTATTATGGTGCTGAAGTGGACACTGGGAAGCCAAAACATCCTCATTGGCAAGGTGCCCCACGCGGATCATCGATCGAAAAGATACTTTAATGGCTCTCTTTAAAACTAACATTCTTTTGAACATCGTGTGTTGTTGTGTCTAAAATGTATTATTGTGATGAACAAAATAGTTCATCACAAAATAGTTTTGAAGCATATTTTTAAGGTGGGGCACCATCTCAACGCCCCACAAGAGACCAGCCGGCGTAGCTCAACTGGGGTAATGCATAGCAACCATCGCAGTCGATTTCAAAAAGGTTGCAGAACCCTCCTGCGAATGGGCCATGAGACTCAGTTAAAAGTTCAAAGTTCATTTATTAGGTACGGGGCGACGTCATCGGCGTGAAACTATCAGTTATTTTGTTTTGATTTCACTAAAAAAAATCTTCCCAAGACGAAGAGCGCTATAACGAATCAGCGCTATACCCGGTCGCGCTAAGCGAGGTCTGCCTGGCGTCCTAACAGGGGCTGGCACGATGCTAACGGCGTGACGTCATCGGCGTGTAACCAATCCACGTTCCGGGGCCCCCGCGTGGGGGTGGGGTGGAGCGCCCCCCTCCCTCCCATCGTCCCCGCCCCGCCCCGCGCCACCTACGTCATCACCGACGTCATCGTCACCCACAACCACCTCCATCGCCGTCACCGCCGTTTCGTTTTTTTTTATATTTCACCAATTCGCGATGATGTGCGGCGGCTTCACGTGCTCGAAGAACGCGCTGTGCGCGCTCAACGTCATCTACATCGTGAGTTGGGCGCCGCTCTGCGAGTTTTTTTTATTTTTATTTTAAAAAATGTTTGGGGCGAAGGGCGCCCGTTAAGAACCTGGTGGGTGGCGGGTGACGTCACCGCGCTTTGTAATTCGCACTTCGCTTGGGCGCGACGGCGCGCACCCATTGGTCGCCGAGCCAGCGCGTGGTGCCCGAATGCGCGCGTCCCATTGGTCGGCGCGCCTGTGCGCTGTACGGTTTCCAACGGCGCGGCCTGCGCGCTTTAGGCCGGTGTTAAAGGGGCCGTTATTCGTCTGAACAAAAATAAAATAAACTTTAATAAATGTTTACACTAATTGTGACGCTCAATTAGTATCATTGGTGATGAGAGCTACGGGGTAGTGAGTAATGATAACCGATACATTGTTCACGGGGAGGTGTTCCTTTGTTATGGTTTAATAAAGCCAGCGGTGGGTTTCTCCCGTAAACAATCATAACTGTCACAATAATAATGATTATGTAACTCGAACGGTTGTAACAATCCTTGTGTCATGAACATAAATGCTCATTATATTGACCAACGAATGTAATGTCAAACGGCAAAGTGATTACCTGTACAAGTAAGTACAGTTCTTGAAGCGGAATCCGATGTCCAGTCGACACATGATGTCCTAATTTTGTAGCTTTCGTAACTGCAGGAATTATTCTTTGGTTCTTTCGGTTAAGTCACGTCTAAAGATAAAATAATAAATTAAATATAGTTTTCTAGTTAGATTTTTGTTGCTATTTCTTTTATGCCTGATGATGATTGCTTGTGTTGCAATCGAAACGTCGTAATATGCTATTATTTAATGTATTATTTTATCTTTAGACGTGACTTAACCGAAAGAACCAAAGAACATAATGTCCTGTTTACAGCCCTGAGACATTGTCTGAAATTCCACATTTCTATGGCAGAGGGGTGAATCTAACCACGTGACAAACGCTGCTGGCTTTCCCACAAAGTGGTGCCGAGTGTATCGACCCCGGAGGGATGATGGGCGGATATTCTTAATATTATTAATTTTGATGTTTTACCTACGTGACTTTACCGAAAAAACCTAAGAATATGAATCCTTGCAGTCACGAAAGCTTTAAATCTAGAATGATGGGCAGAGTCAACCCCCAGGCAGGATTTGAACTCTCAACCTTAAGATTGAGAGCAACGCATTCTTGCGACGTGGATCGTGCCTTGTTCCCACAATCAACATTTTATAATTAAACTTTGAACTTGTACAAAGTAATACGTTTTAGTAATACATTTTTAATATTGAAGGATTTGTGTCGGTACCCAAAAAGCTACTGTTCGGTAAACAATATACCATTTGAAAAAAAAAAAACTGGTCATCAGAACACATGTTTAAATGGAATTCCCATTAGGCCCCGTGGTGTGAAGGGCAGTCGCCAACCTTTATGAACTGTCCTCTCTTTATCCTATGACGTAGGGCAATTGCCCGAAATGTCGCCTATTGTTTTATTTTAAGGATCTGTTATTGACGAATATTATTTTGCAGGTATTTTTGTTGTGCTGCACTGCCAAGCGAGTATCACCAAATAATTTGTTTCATTTAATATATGATCATATTTACAAGGTTTTACATTTCCCCCTTTTAGACAGAGAGAATGCATGAATGCTTTCAACCCTTCTTTTAAAGCGGTAAAAAAAAAAAAACTTATTTACGCCCCATGAATTATTGCTGGAGCAACAGTTCCCGTATTGTGTCTGTACTTATCCACTGCTGATAACAGCCAACTGAGATACGGTCATTGACCAGGGTCCTTCTGGTGAGCGATTATATTTTTAAATAGGAGATGGCCCAGTTAGTTTGAGTTCTTTGGGTGACCACTGTTTCATAAGGTCCACTCAGAAACGTAGCTCTTTTTCAGAAACGGCCTGGCCACAAATGATAGCTCAACGAAGTGGCTTATCATGTGGAAATGTATAGCAGACGAATATTCGCTGGTCTCCAGGATGGCTAACATATGGCAGTACAGCAAGGTGTTTTTTTTACCTCTGCGAACCTCTGAGTTTTAGACCAAATACTTTCTATCTGGGCTTTCCAGAGCTCCCTCGAGTAGAGGCCCTTTTCCTAGCAGTAGCATTTCCAAGTATTTGCAGGGTTGCACCATTATCCTGTTTATAGATTCATACAAATATATGCAGTAAACCCTTGTCAATTGGATACATGGGGCTCTGGCCTTACCGAATTATTCAATATTCCGAATTACAGTATGTACAATGGTACTCCACAGTGCCTCCTGCCCCAATATAAAAATAATAATCCAAATTTGTTTTATGTAAAATATTTTCCACAAAAAGTAGCACCATCAGTAATCAGCACTGCAGGCGAAGGAGGAGGATGTGGTAGGTGCCAGAGGTTGTGGAGGGGGGCGTAATGCACTTAGTATTTAGGATGCACTGACTGACCTGAGGCACTATAAAGTCCAAAGCAACAGTTCTGCACTCACGCTCACCACGTGCGCAGCCACTAGACCGAGTTATTGTTTTAGTCGTGGCGCGCGGCGTTGCTCGACGTGTATGCCGAAATCGGACCATTCTGTACGGCAATTCGAATTACTAATACACGGTATATATATGCCGAACCGCAGCCGTGCCGAATTATCCCCAATTACGAATGATCAAATACCGAAATAATGAGGTTTTACTGAATATAGATTCACACGTTCTTAGGTCGGGCTAGTCAGCAAGCGGCTTTGCCTGTCTCCGTGTCGCGTTCAAATTTGTCGCAGATCGTGGGCCTGCTGCTCATGGCCATCGCAGGCTGGGGACTGGGCTACGGCGTGGTCAACACCATCTCGCTCATCGGCGGTGTGGTCGCCGTGGCCATCTTCCTCTTCCTCATCGCCATCGTAGGGCTCGTGGGAGCCATGAAGCACCATCAGGTGCTGCTCTTCTTCGTATCCTCCACTGTTGGCAGCGGGGTGTGCGGGACACGTGAAATGCCTGTGGGGCCCCCTTTGCCGCTGCCGTAGCCGATTTGTGCTGGGACCGTGCAAGAGCCAGGCCGACGTGGAATAAACTTTTCAACTAAACTATTTTCACGTGACCAGGTAAGGCCCACTGAGCTATACAGCTCTTTTTCAGAAACGACCTGGCCATAAATGATAGCCCAAACGAAGTGGTTTATCATCATGTGGAAATTTAAAGCAGCCAAATACTCTAAGCCAGTGGTTATTAACCTGGGGTGCACTCACCCCTTGGGGGTGTGAGATGCCCTTCCAGATTATTTTCGAAGGTAAATCATCGAAACACAAATTAAACACGGGCACGTGAGTACAACTACTTTGTTTCATCAAACCTACATTATAATTTTTTGAACGATTGAGAACCAAAGGGGGGTGCAAGGCTGCAGAAAAGGTTAAGAAGGCACTGCTTTAAGTGCATGTTTATAAATGTGGAGGGAAAACCCAGAAACCCGGATAAAAATCCACGTGACCACGGGGAGAACATGTAAACTCCAAATATACATTAGTTATGGTCAGAATCCAATCTCTGGCTTCCTGTATACCAGGCGAGGGAGTTAACAATCCGTCACAGTATACTGACTGATGACACCTGACCCCGCTAGCTCCTGAGACAGATTCAGATGCCAGCATATCACGGTTTAGTTCCGTCTCTGCACGGCACATAGCCGATGGAAAGTTGCCCGTACTGTGAGTAATCCCCCACTGTCTTGGCTCGGATGTGCCATTATTATTAAGGATCGTAGTTTGCAAAAAATAAATTCACGCCATTCGTAGTACGAGCTGGTACCAGTTTGCCCCGCCATTGTATTAGTATGTCAGTAATTTACCCTCCAATTGTATAACAACAAGATCCCTCAGATCCTCTGGTACCGGTCTTTTAGTCGTCCCCAAAGGTCAGGACCAAAACCTACGGAGAAGCGGCTTTTAGTGTTTACAGTCCTCGCCTGTGCAACAGCCAGCCAGGGTATCTGAGGGCTTCAGAATCATTAAGCACTTTTAAAATAAATATAAAACTTACTTTTTTAACTTGCTTTTAATTAGGATGTATTATTTGTATTATGTCTTCGCTAGAAATTTGTTACGTGATTTATTTTGCCTACAATTTCAGTTTTATTGTTCATGCACTTTGTATTGAATTTTTTTTTGCACGAATAGTGCTATAGAATATAGTTTGATTGATTTAGATATATTTTCGGTTGGTAAAATATGATGTTACCTTTATTTATTATATTAGCGAAAGATACATTTTCTGTAATATTTTGTTTTCAAAGAAACAAAACTATTAACTGTCGTAGTTTAGTGGTACACATGACTAAACGCTCCTTCATGGCTCCCGAGGGTCACGTGATTGCCAATGAAGCTGTGCAAGCCCAATTAGGCAATTGCTCCATAAAGCTTCGAATGTTTGAATTTTCTAGAATTTTTCACGTAAATTATTTATCTCCCGTTGCCTGCAACAACGCGTAGCACGTTTTCTACCAGACATAACAGTTTAATCGAGATTGCTTGTTGCTTTGTACGTCATGCCTCTTACAGCTTGGCACTAATGTCCTTTCTTTCAACCGCATTCCAAGTGGTATTTTCTTTAACAAGAGCGCTACGCAGTACATCGTCATCCTGTTTTTGCTGTTCATCGTACAATTCAGCGTGTCTTGCTCCTGCCTCGCCTTCAACAGTTCCCAGCAGGTACGGCCGGACACTCCACACCGTCTTCACACTTGAATAATTCGTAAAGTGGGATTTGGGATTTTTATTGGTGCCAAGGTGACGAGATGTTATATCCCTTGCCTGGTATACAGAAGGTCATGGGTTGAATCCCGACCCTGAAGCCTGCTGTATATTTGGAGTTTGCATGTCTCTCTCCCCGTGGTTGCGTGGATTTTTCTCCGGGTCCTCCGGTTTTCCTCTCCACATTTAGAAACATGGAGTATTTGGCCGCTGTAAATGTCCTCATGATAAGCCACTTTGTTGAGCTATAGTTTGCAGCCAGGTCGCTTCTGAAAAGAGCTATATTGCTCAGTGGGCCTTACCTGGTAAAATAAAAAAAAGTTAAATAGTAATTTGTAACGTGTACAATTTTTGTTTACTTTCCGGGAGAGAGAGGGAGAGAGGTGGAATCATTTAACTGGCCCCAACAGTTGCCCTGAGCTCTGTGGTCCTATATTTGCATGTTTGGCAAAATCCGTGATTGAGTGCACATTGAGTATCCGGAGAAAGCTCACGCGCGCACGAGCGAGGGGCGTAACACCCCATCCACCCCCCCCGTACATTAACGGTGTGAGAAAGTCGGGAGGTCGTCGTGTGTGGCTCTCTCGGTACAGTCGCGGAAATCGCGCACGCGTTTGGCCCCGCGCAGGAGACGTTGCTGAAGTATGGCTGGAAAAATCTGAGCAACAGAACGGTGGGCGACTTGGAGAAGAAGTTGGACTGCTGTGGGTTCTTTCAGCAGAAGCTCACGGAGTGCTTGGCGGTGAGCAATGTTATATCTCTCCCCAGCGACACACTGCCATAGTTACAGACTAACATGGAACTCATGTACATGACCCGTGTGTGCCAGTGGTAATATGATTCGCGTTTTTTTTTATTTTAGCCATTCTCTTTGGCTAGTCGGCAACAGTGTTAAGTAAAAAATTAGTCCACTAATTAAATGTTGGAGTTAGAGTCGTGGAATTCTATGTCCATCCCCCCAATATTGTTGAACTCAGGTACGTACTTTTATACACGAATGTAGTCACACGTCCTCAGACGAACAGACTTTGTTTTCCATGCTGAGATGGTGGGGATACATTCAGTTTCATAGCAAATTGCTGACTTATTCTATGAATAATCCATATTTTCTACAATTGTGCGCACCTGCAAAATTGACACTCGTGTGCTATGAGGTTATTTTTTAAAATATGAACTGCGAGATCTAAATTTGTGGAGTTGTCCTGGGCACTGTACACCGTGTACGCGATAGCCTTCCCGTGCAGGTGCTCGTGATGACGAGATGGTGACAAAGAACACACCGTGGGAGCTCCCTGCATGTATGTGCGAGTAAAGTAAAACCCCGGCTAGCCGGATTTTGCATTTAGCCAAAAAAGCTGGACCAATGCTGGCTAACTAAAATGCATTCTTTAATGTATTTTTAATACAATAACATATTCAATATTTTTGTTTACATAATATACTTTTGGTTGTGCTTTGGAATATGTTTTGTCACCTACCATGTGTCATAAAATGCATGAGAACATCTTGGATTTTGTGTAGTGTGTAAAATACGTAATTCAAGTGTATTAAATGTACGTTAGTGGTGGGAGAGGGTCGTGGAGGATGGCGGGGAGGGGGCGAATAGGGGATGGGCAAGAGGGGCAATATGGGACGTGGTGGGGGATATGGGATAGTGGGAAGGGATGATGGGGGAGGGCAGAGGGGGATGCGAGATGGTTGGGAGGGGGCGATAGAGGAGGACTGTGAAGTGATGGGTAAGGGTCATAGGGGAGGTCTGAGGTGGATGGAGGGGGGGGTGATGCAGGTACCTCCAGATATAATTTCTGTATTGGGCATGATACACTACTCACACTACTATGTGTATAACCTGGTACTGTACACAGTATACAGAGTTTTCTGTAGATATTTTTGTAGGTTAATATTCAATGCAAATCGGAGGGTTGCCAGATTTTTTGCCTAGTCAGACCGGGTACTCCCCCCCCCCCCTCCCCAATTAATAGGGCTAGCCGGGTTTTTGACTGATATACACCTGTTTGTGGCCATCCCCGCAGGCTTGCCAGGAGAAACAGTCTTGTAGCAACTGCGGCACGCTGATGTTGAATCACGCCAAGGAGGCCCTGCAGATCTGCGGAGGAGTCGGGCTCTTCTTCAGCTTTACGGAGGCGAGTCAACCTGGGTCACTCACTCAACCCCACTGGTAGAGCCGGATTAGCCCATGGGTTAAGCGACGGCTTAAAAAGTGCTAAGAAGTGTTAGGAAAAAGGGAGAATGCCAGATATGTTACCTGTTTTATATATATGTGTGTTGTTTTATTTTTAGGTACTTATTTATGAATTTGTTGAGTTATCTGTGGGGAAAAAAAATATATAATTGCCCTGTGTCAGGATGGTTCACCAAATGGGAAACGGCCACTGGTAGTGTGTTGTCATAATCGTCTCTGTCACCATTGTCATCATCGTAAGCATCGTCATTTTTTTCATCATCATCATGGTAATAGAGCAGCAGATGACCTTTATATAATGGTTCCAAGGGCAGCTGTGCATCTAACATTGATGAATATCCAAGGACTGGTGAATGACAGACCAGGACTGAAACTGCTCATGTTTTCAATTGTTGTTATCCTCACGCGCAGCGTCTGATGCCAGCACTTTTATTTTCAGAATGATCGTAAATGTAATTGTCGGGTCTTTGAGGTCCGGCTAGTTGGAGTTGATCTGCCTTTGTAACGCTTTCCAACTTGGGTTAAAATAATTTTTGATTAGTTCCTGTCCATATGGGCATCTGTCGGTCCAGCCTTCTTTCTATAATGGGGGGTGGCACTATAACTCTTGTAAAGATGATCTATTGTGATCCAACCTGCAGTCTAAAGTTGTGTTGCTATTAGGGACTTAGCCTGTTGAAAACCAGCCAGATTGATCATTGATCAAAAGGATACCCAAACCTTGGAGACACAAACCACACAAACCAAGAGGACTATTGGAAATACGTGCAAACGGATTTTGCTCTGAGAGCTACCCATCAGATTCATGTTTCCGAAGACAAACGTGTGTTGGAAAGCATGAGGTTTTTTGGGTTAGATCGCGTAAATATAAATGTGTCGTTCAACCCGCCACCACCCAACAGCCCATTAGTAAGGTTTGTCACGTAAACAGAACATGCCAATTCGTTACTAGTTCAGCACATCTAGCACTCAGCCTACATGTTAAAGTGGCTCACGATCCACGCGCGAGCATGATTTTTCACCAACTTGTCTTTAAGTGTTTGGAATTGTTTTTCGACCAGCCACTTGAAGATACCCGTGGTGCGATTGCGTAACCTGCTTCCGCGTGTCCTGTCCGTGTGTGCGCGCTGTCGCTCCGGCAGATCGTGGGAGTGTGGCTGGCGGCGCGCTTCCGCAACCAGAAGGATCCTCGCGCCAACCCGAGCGCCTTCCTCTAGGGCAGGGCCCTGGATGCTGTGCGATTGCGGGCCCGGGTTTTGACGGTCGACTAAGCAGCGTGTGTCACCGTGAGTGTGGGAGCCATAATGTGTGCGTGCGTGCGTGCGGGCGTGTGTGCGAGGTATGTATATGTACGTTGGGCTTCTTTCGCACCGTATGTAGCCAACCGTTCTAATCGGAGGTGCGGGGGGAAGGACAACAAACCGAAAAACTAAAAGCAGTTCGAAAGAAGTTCGTTTTCAAACTGGTGGAGAATGATCGAGCATTGGTGTGGTTATTATTCGTCGCTTGCAACGTTCGAACGTCACTCCGGCCCGCCTCCCCCTCTCTTCCCCCCCCCACCCCGCCCCCCACCTCGCCCCCCACCCTACTTCCCATCCGTCCATTTATCTCTCCAATATTCGCGTGGAGAAAAAAGTAAAAAAAAAAACCCCGTAGAGATATTCTTTCCAACGCACAAGCACGAGAAGCTGAAACGCGTCGTGTTGGTGAGAGGTGTAACGCACCGCGTGAATTTCCCCCGCATCACCTTTGCTGTCTGCCTATAATGCTGCCTACACACCACTGTACTTTTTGTAAATCCGACACGGCCGCAAGTGATTGCACCGAGGGTACGCTCGTGTTGTGTGGTTTCTTTTTTTAGGATATTCGTAGTGGTTAAACAGGGTGTCCGTGAAGGTGTAGTGCATTTAAAAAAAGAGTTGTAATGACAGCAGGTTTGTCTAGGTCATTAAAACCCAAACAAAGACAAAGATACCCCGTATAGCCTTCACAGACTGTTGGGGCAAGTGCTGTTAGCGAGCAGCACCTATGGAGGCCGGCACGGCACACGAGGGGCTGGGTGGCCGGTACCACCCCCGTCTGCCTTTGTCTCCTGAATTGGCGATGTTTACACACCGCACCAGGTACTCATTTGAGGCCGAGTCAACCTCGGGGAGGTCCACGTCTGGTTCAAATAATGGTCACACACACGCAGCATTGTGAAAATCCCATCACACGGGTCTCTCACCTCATCCCCCACGTGTTTACCATGACGTTGGCAACACACTTGGTATCGAGATTTCAGAGAATTCCAGGTGTTGGAGAGTATCCCGGCTGTGTGATTGTTACAAATACTTCTGTTACCGTTTTAAAGTCACACGAGCATTATAATTTAACAAGAAAATTGTACGAGGAATATGTTCGCGGTATTTTAACTACGGCGTTCAAACTGCCGTCTGTAGTTTATTAATATCTTGATGAGCAACCCTGCGTGAGACATTGTCAACATCCTGTCATTCGAGGCTTGCTGGATGTCGCTGGTGTAATTCGTCACCCACTTGCTTTCTTTCCAACTGCTCAGTTACCCAGTGGTGATGTCTGTACCTGGAAGGAGAAGCTGTGTTGTTTTAATTTGTAATTCTGTTGCACCTGAGAGCAGTTCTGTGATATCTCCTTCCACGGGGCGTGTTCTCGAATATGGGGTGATGCACCGGTTTTGCCGGAGTCACGGATTGGCTCTTCGTGGCACTTTGAATAAAACAAAAGACAAAAAAAAAACCTCGTACCATTTATATCGAGATGAATTCTGATTGTGTGATTGTGCGGTCATGTATTCAGAAATCAGAATATGTATTTATACTGGAGGAATCCGATGCGCTATGAAGCCTTTTTTCACAGATATCCAGTAGTATTGATCTGGTGTTCCTTTGGAATACTTATGGTTACATAGCAAGTCGTATTAAGCGTTGTGCACATTCATACGGCTCTTCAAACTTCAGCCGTACATTTCCACGTTGGGTAGTCGAGCAGGTCAGTTTGAAGGTAACGGTGCGATAATTGATTTGTGGGTGCAAGGCTTAACTTCGCCACGGCACGTACGCTGAGCGGTTATTCAGGCGCTGTTTCTGCTGCGATGTATCCGTAACGTGGCAGATTTGTAAAGATCGCTGTCGAGGGAAAGGGAGAAAACAAGTAACACTTTGATAATGCTGCGAGGGATTGACACCGGCGTCTGTTATCGCCGCTGATTTAAGGGAAAGAATGAAATGTTTTAATAATCAGGGCCATGTAGAAGGATGTCTGTCCGTGGGGCTTCGTGCGTGCGTGCGTGCCCTTGTGTAGGACAGGGTGACACGACCGAGTGGAAACACGTTTGCTGGAGATGTTTGCGGTTCGAGGCTGATGGCCGCCCTGGTTAATGCTGCGGGTGTATTAACCATAAATGATAATAATTATTTTAAACTCATTTTTTTGGTTAAATTCGCACTAGGCCTCAAAGGGCTTTCCAGAACGCCTGTTTAGTTATGGAGAAAGCCTGTTGTAATAACAGGTCAGTTTTTAAGACGTGATTTAAACAGTGTAACAGACTCCGATACCCCCATGGACCCAGGAAGAGAATTCCACAATTGCGGAGAGCCTGGCTACACAAAGCTCCGTTTCCCACAGAACAAAGTCTGGTCTTTGGAATAATTAATAATGAGGAGACCACAATCAGCAGATCTAAGTTTCCGCAGTGGAATATCAAAGTTCACCAGATCGGTGAGATGTTTAGGAGCCAACTCATTCAAGGCCTTCAACCTAAGGAATAGATACTAGCCTGCCTCACAGTTAATGTTCAAAAGATCCCGCGGCGTTATTTTTGACATGGAGTAGGCCACGCGTGCCCGGGCCTTGCGATCCCAGTTTGCTCGAATTTTACTTGTTTGGGAAGAAAATCCACAACGGTTGCATCGTGCCCCCCCCCACCGCCCCCGGCAGGCTGGTGCTGCTTACAGCTTATGTCACGTAGGGAGGACTGCCAAGTTGGGTACCCCAACAAATGGACTGTTGCACGGCAATGGAATTAATTGTCGGGCTGAGATGTGATGCAAGCCACTGTACTCTTGAGATGCTGAGGTGTTTTAAGCGAGCGCCGCTGTAACATGCAAATACTTATCCTACGGTTCGCGGACAATTGTGGATGCGTCGAGGTCTCAGGATGCGAGTCTCCGATGCAAATTAAAAGTCGTAGCGGATGAATCTTGATTCAGTTACCATCGTTTAGTATTTTTTGTTCAGCGTAGTTAATAAAACAAAATATTTGCGTTTGGCCGCAATATGAAACCCTCGTTGACAGGGCCAATCGCTTCTTATCGTGAACGGTGTTGCGTTTTCAAAGTAGCGATGGTGTGTTCACTGAAAGTAATATATGTGAATTGTAAAACGGGAAAAAAACAATGAAATTTGGTATTTACAACCGATGTTTTTGTGCGCTGCTTTTTTCTTCCGCGAATGGGGCTCTGTGTGTTGTGACCGCGCGTAGAGAGGACTCTTAAGCAACGTCAAATCGACGTAGAAGCGGCACTTAATTTCTCGGTTGAGCTGTCATTTGTGATAGCCACGTCGCTTTTGAAAAACAAGCTATGTAGCTCAGTGGGACTTACCTGGTAAAATAAAATAAAACGTTGAATATGCTTGTTTGTGGAACGCTGCTTGGCTGCGTGACATCAACACCGTGCCGCGCAATGTTGTTTTACTTCACGGACATTTGTGCCATCGTCATCATCATGTGCATGCCCCTCGGGACGTAGCAGTCCCCACAAGCCACCAACCAGGCAGAGCTACATTTTTTTAAAGGCTTCAATCAAGAGTTGGCAACCCCAACAATGTGTCCTGATATTCAAGAATCTTAATTTGTGTTTACATAGCGGTGAATGGTCGCGCCTTTAGTGACTACGGACGTGATCTGAACCCCTTTACGTGCAACATTTACATTGAAAAGCATCGATTTGCCACGATTCAGTGTATGTATTGCGAGCTTACGAGTTGATTAACCTGTGCACAATTTGCACAAACAGTGTTCTGCTTCACGTAAGAGGAACCCGGAGCATCTGGAGAACACCCACCGTGCATGCGATGGGATAACTCTTAGAGCAGTTGTTCTTCACCTGGGGTGCACGCACACCTTCGGGGTGCGAGACATGGCCACGTGTTTTTTGGAAGGTAAATCATGGAGAGAAATTAAGCAGGGGCATGTAAGTACAACTACTTTGTTTCATCAAACCCTTTGTATTGATAAAACCAAACTACGATGGAGAACCAAAGGGGGGGGGGTGCAAGGCTGGAGTTAAGGTGAAGAACCACTGTCTTAGAAGCTCCACTGTACAGACGGGTTTTGCGATCCCTCTTGCTGTACTGCCACCTAGGAACCCCAGCGGCTTCGGGAGTTTCACAGCAAACTGTCTCCGCACGTCCTGCCGCACCTCCGCCGCACCTCCGATTACACTGGTCAACAAAAAAACACATTTTTTTCTGGCCTGGGCTTTTGCAGCTGTTTTCATGGTGCTGATTCCAAATCTGATCTCAGATTTGCTCTATCGCATCTCATTTTTATGCTATCGGCATACCCCATTTTCATTGATTTTACCAGAAATTAACTCTGTTACTTATGATTGCAAGTTGTTGCGAGTCAGTGACTGCTTTAGTGTTAAATTATGGTGCTGTATTTTTAGGATAGTGTTTTTATAATATAATTTTATGTAGATATCCACATTTATTTAATATTTTTCTTGGAATACCTTATTCCAGAAAAAGTGTGTTGACCAGCGTTATCACGGTTGGCTACGCACGGTGCGAAAGAAGTTCCACATGCAGGCGAACGTGAAGCGAGAGCAGCCGTTGGAAATCGTTCATTCGTTCGCCGAGTACAAGGGGGTAGCTACGTCCTCTGCTACGGCTTCAGGTCTTTAACGTGGTCGCCCGACCCTCCACATCATCCGTGGCCTCCAGTGTGGGGGCCGACATCTACCCCACCGCCCTCGCTGGGCAGGTGGGGCACGAGGTTCCCTCCTTCCGCTCCATCCTCCACCGCGTCGGTCGGCTCCTGCCGGGCCCCCGCCGACCGAGTGATCGGGGCCCCCCTCTCTGAGGTGACACACGCCGTGCTGCTGGCTCACCGCCGCACGAAGTTAACCCGCACGAAGTTGACCCACACGCCCGCGTCCACCACAGCTAACTGCTAGGCGCAGCACACGCAGGTACGCGCACGGCGCACACACCTGCAGGCGATTACCTCGCCTGCGCGCCCTTGCCGCGGCTCCGCGTCCACTTCTCGCAGCGCGTTTCCCCACGCAGTCGCTCCACACACAAATCACCGACACCACACCGATGCTCTGTGCTCACTTTGATTCGCGGCGCAAATGCGCACCACCCGGGGGAATATGTTGCGAGAAGAACCTAGCCCTACTGCTAAGTGCCCAGTCACTCAAACGTCCTGCCATGTACCTCGAAGCTGTACTCGCGGCGTCGCACGGACGCTGTGAGAGTCGGAGGGAGAAGGACGAGAGAAAACTTCACCTATCACTGCCTCGTAGCAGCACTCGCTGGCATCACACGGATGCCGCGAGCGGCTCGAGGAGGCAGGACACCAGGGAGTGGCTCTTGGCGGCCCTAATGTTGAAGACAAGAGACCTGAATCGTCCCGGGCTTCTCTTCTAATCCCCCGAACTTCAAAAGCCCGGGGTGGCGTTGTACCACGTGGCCATTCGTGCGCCTACCTGTGGTTACCGCTCCCTGGTTACTGTGTCCTCCGTGGAGTGCTGCTGCTCCGACCACCCATTGCTCTCCCGTGCTCAATAATTCTGACCTCATGGTCTGCTCTTCTTGCCTAACATTCCACCCTCGGCTCCACCCGATGTCGTGAATGACTCATTGCGGCTGGCCCAGTGAACCTTTTTGCGCACATAAAATGTTAAGCCAACTCGGAGGCACCGCAATGTGACCTGTCCTGCGAGGTTCGGCCAATCTCCTGGCACCGGGAAACCGTGGGACTTTCCTCCTATAGGGGTCCTTCGGATTAAAACCCGTCGTGCCAGGCAATCCTCCGCCAGGACACCACGCGTGTGTAAAAAATAATAATAAATGAAATAAATCAACCAAATCAAGACGTTTCGGAGGCAACACAAGTCTCCGTCTTCAGGTGGGACCGTCACAGCTAAATTAAAGATAAGCCCCTCCCCCCTTAACTTGCATTTAAGATCTTGTCTCTTGGATTTCTCCTCACTTGATACAGTTCAACACACATAAACATACGTCATAGGCCGCTGCAGAGCTACGTTATGGGCAGCAGAGGGCGGTGCAGCAAAGTCCATTGCCTTGTTCCCCCGTGGCCTCACCACAGCTGTTGCTGCCCGCAAGACGCACTTGGCCGCATTCACCAAGACGCACTTGGAAGTCCTCATCCAGCAGTGGATTGATAAACAAAAATAGCTGCACGGGAACGTGAATATGGTGGTGCGGCGGTGGCTAGGAGATGTTAACTGCCTCGCTTGGTATGCAGGAGGTCGTGGGTTCGGTCCGACCCTGACGCCTGCTGCGGTATATTTGGAGTTTGCGTGTCTCTCTCTCTCTCATCATCATCACGGTGGCTAGGAGATGTTAACTACCTCGCCTGGTATGCAGGAGGTCGTGGGTTCGATCCCGACCCTGACGCCTGCTGCTGTATATTTGGAGTGTGCATGTCTCGCTCTCTCATCATCATCACGGTGGCTAGGAGATGTTAACTACCTCGCCTGGTATGCAGGAAGTCGTGGGATCGATCCCGACCCTGACGCCTGCTGCTGTATATTTGGAGTTTGCGTGTCTCTCTCTCTCATCACCATCACGGTGGCTAGGAGATGTTAACTACCTCGCCTGGTATACAGGAGGTAGTGGGTTCGATCCCGACCCTGATGCCTGCTGCTGTATATTTGGAGTTTGCGTGTCTCTCTCCCCGTGGTCACGTGTATTTCTCTCCCGGTCCTCCGGTTTTCCTCTCCACATTTAGAAGCAAGTCGACATCACGCTTTTAGAGTATTTGACTGCCATACATTTCCACGTGATACGCTACTTCATTGAGCTATCATTTGTGATGGTCAGGTTGCTTCTGAAAGAGAGCTACGGTATATAGTTCAGTGGGTACCTTACCTGGTAAAATTTAAATAGCAGTTCAGTTTTATTCGTACGTTTTGAGTGATTTGCTTACCTGTCCTGTACTTTCCACCCCTATCACGTGTTTGTATCGTTGTAACTTCCTGACCCGCCCTTAGTGGTGTGAATTTGTTTTAAGTCCGGATCCTCGTGATATTTGATATTTAAATAATAGCACACGGCCGAGCATTTCCCGGGACCTGGTGGTATGGCTGTAGTTCGGTCCCGATCAGAGAAGCCGCTGTGGCGATGCAAGAACAATCGGAGGTTCTGCCGATCGGCACTCGGCTCTCAGGCGAACAAAAATTAACCCGTAAAAACAAAGTTTTTTCACTAATAAATCCGTTATATGCTGGCCATCGGCTTTATGTTTCTTATCATCTGTTTTTCTTTAGTAGAATTGTCATTTTTATCACATTGGTATTTTAAATGAAATATGAAAAAAAAATTTTGGATTTTTTTTAACGGAAATAAATTGTTACGCACCAACGAGTCTGTGTGCAAAATGTCAGCTCGATTGGATCACGGGAAGTGGGTTAAAAAACGACCGAAAGATTTGCACGGTCGTAAGCGCGCAAGCAAGCAAGCAAGTGAACTTAATATAAAGGATTTTAAAAAACGACCGAAAGATTTGCACGGTCGTAAGCACGCAAGCAAGTGAACTTAATATAAAGGATTAAAAAAAACCCCAGTTGGGAGGATCCGGTGCAGTTATCGCGGAATCCACGATTCAGTTTTGTACTCATTTAAAGAAGCCTCGGCCCCGTACTCGGACCAGACGATGTCGGTCTACACTCCGTAGTTTTTGTTGTATTCACGTCTCTCTCCATCGGTCGCTCTCATAACGTGTGCCCCCTTGCCTGTCTTTCCCTCGAAACCTCCTTAGGATTTCTCCGTCGTGTAAAGGCGGCGTTGACGTTGAGAGCGCGTGGTGATATTTCGCTTTAATTGGCTGCGCGTGTTTCTATATTTTATATTGCCGGCTCCTGTGTTGAGCGTTGGGAGAGGGTGTGTGTGGAGACAGACAGCCATGTGTTGAGGTTACTCAGGGGGCCAGTGATGGCAGCTGGCCGGTATTTAAAGGCAGCAGCTTAAACCCACCGTTATTAATAATTGCCGTGCTTTGGGAAGAGATGTAAAATTAAACAGGCGAATCCCTTCTGCTGCCACAACCACCGCCGCCACCACCACCAACATCTCTCACACCACCATCGCTGGTATGTAGGAGGTCGTGGGTTGGATCCCGACCACGATGCCTGTATTTTTGGAATCTTTGGGTCTTTCTCCCCTTGGCCGCATAGATATTTCTCGGGGTCCTCCAGGTTTTCCCCTCCACATTTAGAATCAACATCACGCGTTTCGAGTGTTTGGCTACCGCTATACATTTCCACGTGAAAAGCCACAGCGTTGGGGCTTTCATTTGTGGCCAGGTCTGACAGTACTGGACATCTGTGAAAAAGAGCTTCATTGCTCATCGGATTTCTCCAGGATAAATAAAGATGATAAAAAAGAGCTACATAGCTCAGTGAGCCTTACCTGGTGAAATAAAAAATGTTTTAGTTTAAAATTTCATATTAGTTGTTTTTGTTTAATCAGTACAACCACCATCACCACCGAAATTACGTGAAGGTGTGCGTCAAAGCAGACAACAAGATTAAATTTGATCACTGTAACATTTCCTCCCACTTGCACAATAAACACAACTCGTCATTAATCGGCTGCAAACATCAGGAAATAAAAACCCAATGGTGGAGGCAGGACCCTCCTGAAAATAAGCCATACGACTCGGTGTGGCTCTCCTGGATAAATACGTCAAACTTTATTGTTTTATATTTTAATTATTTTATTATTTCCCTTCTACGTGACTTTACCGAAAGAACCAAGAACATGAATCCCTGCAGCCACGAAAGCTTTAAATCAAAAAGTAAAACTAGCTTTTTTGCCCGTCCAAGGACGGGTGTATGTTGCAGTAAATCTGAAATATTCAATAGAAAAATTGTTCAGCTCATGATTATTATGTGGAGTGACGTCACCCGCTAATGGTTATTGGGGAGGGGTGCGGCATGTGGAGTGACGTCACACCCTCATGGTTATTGGGGAGGGATGCTGCATGTGGAGTGCGCGACCTTGTGTAAATTTCCACGTGGGTATGAATATTAATGAAAGAGGGGGGGGGGCTCTTTTGCAGTGACGTCACGCACGGATGGAGCATTGTGCTGCGTAGATTTATTTTGTCCCGTCACTTTCTGTAAAGAAACGTGATATTTGAAGCGACTTTGCGTAATAAGTTATTTCATTCTGTTAGACCTTCCTCTGCGTTCGTGTAAAAATCCACCCGCTCATGAATATTAATGAGGGGGGTGGGCCTCATGTGGAGTGACGTCACGCGAGGGACGGACAGACATTTCTGAGTGATTATAGTAGGCAATATAAACATGCAAATACGTCTGCAGTGAAATGTTTATTTAAATTTCCATTGTGAAGCACAGTCGTGAACATTTTTAGTGAAAATGATAAACGTTAATGACCACTAACACTGCACCATAAATCTTCTAGAGCTGATGCCGTGGTGGCTAGGAGATGTTCACTCCCTCGCCGGGTATGGGGCCGTCCATAAATGACGTCACGCGATTTTGGACGATTTTTGACCCCCCCCCCCCCTCGTCACACGGCGTCACAAAAAGTCAGACCCCCTCAAATATGACGTCACAAAGCTCTGCCCCCCCCCCCCCAATTTTCTTTTAAACATGCTTGAAATCGCTTTAAACTATTGTCATTGTAGTGCGTATTTAATGTGGCGCTGCACTCTGATGTTGTAGGAGAAAACATTTATTAAAAAGTCTATTTTATTAAGTAGAACGTGTTGTCTATATTTATTTAAAGTTGCGCATTTTGATGTGACGTCACATTTCTCACCCCCCCCCTCGTCACACATCGTCACAAATGTCTGACCCCCCCCCCCTCGTCACACATCGTCACAAATGTCTGACCCCTGCCCCCCACCAAGGTGCGTGACGTCATTTATGGACGGCCCCTTATTTGATACCAGAAAACCCTCTCATGACACCAGAAAAACCTCTCATCTGACACCAGAAAAACCTCTCATCTGACACCAGATAATCTCATCTGACACGAGAAAACCCTCTCATCTGACACCAAAAAACCCTTTAATCTAGCACCAAAACACAAAAAAAACATTTGATATGGAACCAGAAAACCTCTGATCTGACACCAATTAAACTTCTCATCTGACACCAGAAAACCCTCTGATCTGACACCAGAAAACCCTATCATCTGACACCATAAAACCCTCTGATCTGACACCAATAAAACCTCGGATCTGACACCAGAAAACCCTCTGATCTCACACCAATAAACCTCTGATCTGACACCAATAAAACCTCTCATCTGACACCAGAAAACCCTCTGATCTGACACCAATAAAACCTCTGATCTGACACCAGAAAACCCTCTCATCTGACACCAAAAAACCCTCTGATCTGATACCAGAAAAACCTCTGATCTGACACCAGATAACCCTCTCATCTGACACCAAACAAAACCTTTGATCTGACACCAATTAAACCTCTCATCTGACACCAGATAACCCTCTCATCTGACACCAGAAAACCCTCTGATCTGACATCAGATAAACATCTGATCTAACACCAGCTAAACCTCTAATCTGACACCAAATAAAACCTTTGATCTGACACCAATAAAACCTCTCATCTGACACCAGATAACCCTCTGATCTGACACCAAAAAACCCCCATCTAATCTGGTACCAAAAACCCTCTAAACTGCCACTAGAAAACCTCTGATCTGGCATCACTGTAGCGGAAAGGGCGGTTGCGTCTGTACCGCTTTCGTTTTCCGGGTCAAAAGTGCTCGCTCGTCCGCCGCCCCATGCGCCGCTCTGCGTTGCGACAAACTTCGCCGTCGCCTCCCCCGCCGCCTAAACATTTAAAGACAATTCGCAACGCTTGCCTCTTCAAGGGGACAAGGGCGAGAAATACAGACATCGACTCGAGTTCGCTCACGTCTGACCGCGAAGACGCCCCCAGACGACAACGCACGTGGCCTCCGCTGTAAGCATTGCGCGTGACCGCGTGCAACGTGAACGAATGAATGAATCACCACCACGTTAGTTGATTGTGTGGCGCGGGGGTGGTGGGGTGGGGGTCTGTCACCTTGTTATTGTTTGGGGCCGTCCATAAATGACGTCACGCATCTGGTGGGGGGGGGGCGGGGGGGTCAGACATTTGTGACGATGTGTGACAGGGGAGGGGGGGTGTTTGAGAAATGTGACGTCACATCAAAATGCGCAAGCTTTAAATTAATATAGACAACACGTTCTGCTTAATTAAATTGACTTTAATAAATGTTTTCTCCTACAACATCAGAGTGCAGCGCCACATTAAATACGCACTACGATGGCAATAGTTTAAAGCGATTTGAAGCATGTTTTTTTTTGGGGGGGGGGGGCAGAGCTTTGTGACGTCATATTTGAGGGGGGTCTGACTTTTTGTGACGCGGTCAAAAATCGTCCAAAATCGCGTGACGTCATTTATGAACGGCCCCAATGACAAACTCGATTCGAAACTTTCGTGACTGCACGAATTACTCTTTGGTTCTTTCGGTAAAGTCATGTAGACAATAAAATCAAATAATCGAATACGACGTTTCGGTTGCAACACAAGCAACCATCATCAGGTAAGAATGAATGATAAAACACAGACTCGGGAACAGCATAGGCAGACACACATGCAGAGAGAGAGAGACACACACAAAGACACATAACCGGTTGGGCAAATAGGAAAAGTAATTGGTGACGTTTCGGGCAATGATCCTTCTTAATGGCACGCAGAGAGGCTAGAGATGTCAGCCGTATGTAAGCGGTTTGGTTGCACACGCGACCAAATCGCGTAAGGGGCCGTCCATAAATGACGTCACGCGATTTTAGACGATTTTTGAACCCCCCCCTTCATCACAAAAAGTCAGACCCCCCGAATATGACGTCACAAAGCTCTGCCCCCCCCCCCCCAAACCATATTTCCATTTTGAAAATAAAACGTTCTTCAAATCGCTTTAAACTATTGTCATTGTAGTGCGTATTTAATGTGGCTCTTGCACTCTGATGTAGGATAAAACATTAAAAGTCTATTTAATGAAGTAGAATCTGTTGTCTATATTTATTTAAAGTTGCGCATTTTGATGTGACGTCTCATTTCTCAAACCCCCCCCCCCCTCGTCACACATCGTCACAAATGTCTGACCCCCCCCTCCCCCCTAGGTGCGTGACGTCATTTATGGACAGCCCCTGATGGCGAGAATGAGGCCCCCATCCAGCAGTGGATGAACCCAGAACGGCTGTGTTGCGTGCTCGTGACCAACACTGGAGTAACTTGTACGTATGTTGAACTTCTTTCGCACCGTACGTAGCCAACCGCGCTGATCAAGGAGGCGCGGCAGGGGTTGGGTGGTTAAGGACAACGAACGATGGACAACGACCACGACGGGAGGCTTGGAGCCGGCCTGGCGGATCAGCCGTGGACCTCGGTGGTGCTGGAGGACAGGCCGTGCCTGATGAAGGCCTCGTTCTCGTCGCGCGGATACAGCCTGCTGCTGTCCGACATGGCGCACTTCTGGAGCGAAGAGATGAACGCGGAGGGCGTTGGGAAGCGACTCGGGGTAACGAGCGATCCGTGTCAGTCTCGCAGGTCGCGCGCGGTGGGGGTTCAAAAGCGTGGGACGCTCCCGTCTCTTCAAAGGTGTCCGGCCCAAGTGTGGTAGAGCAGGCCAAAATTACCCTCCTCCAAGGGGGGATCTTTGGACGATTTATAGCTTCCCTCTAGCGGAGGCCCTTCCCGCCGGCTGCCGTGCGCAGAGGAAACCCGGTTTAGTTTGATGTGAAGTGGCCACGGTTAATGTCGGTGGCGAGCGATGTTTGAACCGAGTCCCCTGGGCACTACCCGACTGGCACTGGTTAGCATGATGAGGTGTGGCCGGACTACTCCCGCGACAGCCACAGCATGCGGAGGCCTTCGACGAAGAAATGTCGTCGAGTCTACGCTTATAAGGAGAAAAACATATCTTTGATTAAAAAGTTCAACTCGCTATGCTTGAGAACCCAGGTTTAGCATCATGGGTGGCTAAAACGCAAGCCCAAGATCTCATGATAATAATAATAATGCAATTTATAATGCGCGCAAATTTGCGGACGTAACGGCCGCAATTCAGAGGCGCGGAGCCAAGCTCAGGGTCGCTCGAAAGCGTGGCTGTAGAGATGCGTTTTTAAGTGTCTCTTGAAAGAGACGATGGAGGTGATGCTGCGAATGTGCAGAGGGATATTGTTCCAGACTGTTGGGGCTGCCACCGAGAAGCGGCGCATAGACACGATGACCATCCTGGATCTTGGTATCAAGAGGAGGTCGTGAGTCGCGCTGTGCAGGCATCTGCCGTGTGCTGAGCTGCAAGATCTCATGATGTATGTTGAACTTTTTCCCCACTGTACGTAGCCAACCATGCTAATCACATGTGCCAAGGAAGGACAACAAGCTAAACACAAAAAGCAGTTTTAAAGAAATGCGTTCCCAATCTAGATTTAAAAGTGGCTTCCTAATAGCAGAAGGAAGTGCGCATTGCAGACGGTCGTGGAAGTGCATCTGAAAGCGCGCGATGCGGTGGCCGTCTTTGTTCGATGGTCAGCCAAAAGTTGCCGTTGTTGCGAGGATGACCGGGGTTCACGGTGCCGGTTCGGCACGACATAGTACACACACACACACACCGCCCACTTACATCGTTCGCTGGCAGCATTTCAAACATTTGTCAGCCATCCACTGGCTCACTTGCCAACCTCCTCCCTCCCGCCTTACGTAAGAAGAAGTGCACGCTAGAAAACTGAGACCCTCCACCCCCCCCCCCCCCTTGTGTCGCCCTGCCACCTCCTGGCAACGCCGTTTATCGGCCACCTTGACCAGCCAAAATGAAACAAAACTCTTGGGAAGTGATGATCGGGGCCCGATGAACTTGGAGGTTGTCTCTGCGCGTTATATATATGGACACTTGATAGCTACGATGCTGACGTCCCTGGCAGATATTCATTACCGACGTGAAAGGAACAAAAGGGACAATTCTTCGCTCCCGGAGGGATGGCCTCTGCTTACGTTGGCCGCGTTTTGCTCGCTTAATCTCCGAGGCGCAGAAACCACCGCGGCGGTGTGCCATGGTACGTGCCGGGCCGTCGCGGACGCAGCGAGGAAACGGCGGCGGGGCGATTGCGTGTTGACATCTTTTTTTTTCGGTGGACGCAGGGGTGGGTGGGGGGGGTTGTGTTTGGGCGTGTGTTCCCCGCCAGTCCTCCTCCACGCGCCCCTCCTGGCTGCACTGCGCCGGTCATTGTAACAGTGACAAACCCCGCTGCCACACCAAGCGTCAACCAAGCCCCCTAACAAAACACTTACCTAATGCAGTAACCCAATCCCTTAATTACATGGCCAAAGTAAACCCTGCACGCTTCGAGCAGCAGTTGTTTCTAGGTGGCCGTGATATGCAGGTAAAAGCCCTTTGAGACTGGTAGCCCGTTACGCACCTCCGATTAGCACGGTTGGCCACGTAAGGTGCGAAGGAAGTTCAACATAAATGCAAAGCGAGACAGGCCCCGTATTAAATCAGTACTCTGGCTAAACAACACAGACTCGCAGAGACCCACAGAGTTCTACAGAGTTGCACAGAGACCGATATAGACTTAGCAGAGAGACCCATCGAACAATACAAAAAGGGTCGGTAAAAATCGTACAGGATTGATCCTTGAATTGAATGTTGACCCTGAATTGTGACAGTTCATCGGATCGTTGGTGTTTGGGGGTGGGGGGAGGGGCAAAGCATGACCCGTGTGATTGTTGAGCGTGTAATTGTTGAGCGTGTAATTGTTGAGCGTGTAATTGTTGCGAAAAACATTTTTGGTTTGGTCCGCTGCGTCGAGAATCTACAGGCTGGTCACTTGCTGGTCTTTCACCACCGAGTAAGCTTGACGCAGTTTCAGTCAACGTGTCCTGTCTCTGATTTGCTGGATTTGTCCGTGAGAATTGTCCTTTGACTTTTCCCGTGAGCTCGACGTAGCTTTTCCCAGATCGCTTTCTGGCCTAGCCCAAACTTCGTGATATATTTGCGCGTTGAGCGTAATCGTGGCACAAACTTGGCCTTGGCGTTTTTCCTCCTCCCCCCCCTCCATCCCCCACCTCCTCCTCCATACGGCCTCTCACGGCAGGAGCTTAACCGGCGGCTCGGAGCGCCGGTGGAGCGTGTGTGCGAGCACCTGCGCGAGGCCGTGGGCTCGCTGCCGAGGCCCGGCGCCGCCGCCGATCGCCACGATGGCGCTGCCGGCGCCGCCGCAGCCGCCTTCTCGTGGACGCGACGCGAGCCCGCCGAGCCGGAAGAGAAGGCGGGAGGTACGGTGGCGGTGGTCGCGCTGCAGAGCCGGATGAGCGGCGTGCCGCTTCGCTGGGAGTTCCGACTGAGTCCTGCGGAGCACCCGACGGTGAGGGGCCCCTGACGCCATTCCGTAATCGGTCGTCGGGTCTGACCGACTTTGTGTCGTCGGCGCCCTCTGCCACCCGACGCAGCCGAACGGTCGAGTCGTCGCGTGTTGCGAGCGTTGTTTCAGCACGCAGGTTGAGTTGAAGAACGATCCCCCGCCCCCCTCCACCACCGTGACCAAGTTTAGCGATTAGATGACACGAGGTTTTAATTCGAACCTGCATCAAATGTCGTCATCAGGACGAGATCTAGGAAGCCAGAATATGAATAAAAGAGCTCCAAATAACTTTGCTGGATTTCTATTTGTCAGTTGCTCTTCAACTTATCGGCAAGCTGATATAATGTGTGCATCAAATGCTTGGACATTATTTTGGATGTGGCGGGTGGTGGAGGCTCTTAACGGCACAAATTTTTATCTGATCAGCATGGCCTAACCCAAAACTCCATTCCGAATCCTACCACTACAAACGTTAAACCCTGTGTTAAGATGATATCGTTCATTTACCATCAGAAAGGAAAAGGTTTCCCACTCCTGATGGACACATCGATGCACATCAAATTATTTATTTAACAAGATGAGAACCCAATAGACTAGGATAGTCTCATTTGCAAGAGCGAGCTGGTGATGAGATGATCATTATAATCACATGATGATGATGGTGATATGATTAGGTGATGGTGATGATGATATATGATGATATAATTGTGACGACATGACATTCTTGCATACGCACGCTAAGAGTTTGACCCTGCTCATCCAAGCCTCCTGCCACAATCCTCTCCACCGTCGCTGCTGCCGCGCACCCTGAATGCGAACGCCCTATCTTCTTGGTTCTTTCGGTAAAGTCACGTAGAAGGGAAGTAATTTTAGTAATTTTATTTCTTCCCTTCTTGGTTCTTTCTTCCCTGCTACGTGACTTTACCGAAAGAACCAAGAAGATGAATCCCTGCAGTCACGAAAGCTTTAAATCGAAAAGCGAACGCCCTAGTTCGATTCCGGGCCAAGGCTAACAGCATCGGTGTCTGTCTGTCCGTCCGTCCGAACCGGTCGGTGCCACCCCGCCGGCGTGCAGGTCTGGGACGAACTGGTGGCGCCGGCGCTGGGCATGCTGCGCGTGCTGAGCCGCGAGAGCGCCGAGCTGCGCGCTTGCATCCGGCGCAAGGACGCCGAGATCGCAGACTACCGTGACAGCGGAGCCAGGGTCAGCCGCAGTGAGTCGCGCGCACGCACGCGCTCGTTCGCTCACGTGCACGCTCGCTCGAAGTACTTGCCCCAACAGTCTCTCAGTGCGACACGGTGGGTGGGTGGTTTGGGGAGGCTTTTGTGCCCGTACGTCTGATGTACGCAAGTTACGCAGCCAGCTGCCTAAGCCGGATGTCACGTCGTGAGGCGAAGCATCCATTCGGATCTCTCGCAGAGCAGAGGAGTGCAGCAGCAGCCCTTGGCGGAAGCGGGTCTCGCAGAACTAGCGCACAGTAGGGGGCAGCACTTTCCCACCGCTCTGATACTCGGGAACGACGCGCGGAATTTAGGTCAATTTCAGTGCTGCACTAAATTTGAAGCTGAGATCATCGACACGTTGCGCACGGAACACGCCCAGTCGTTAATCGCATGCTGCTGAGACACGGCCTCATACCTCGGTTCGCATCCCATCCTGTCATCCCATCGTCTCTTCCACCCCCCCCCCCCCAAAGTTCTTAAAACCTTGCTCAATGCAAGAAACGTGATAACTCTTAGAACTTACACCATTTTTAAGGTGCGGTTTGTTTCTTAGCGCTTGGCATTTTGTGACTTGGCGGTTCGTTCTCAGCAACCGTTTAACATATTATACACATGTCACATATAACTCTAATAATGATGTAATCATTTTAAACAATACCTTAACCGTGCCAGCCCTGCGCTCTTGGCCGCTGAGCTAACCCGCCTGCTTGTTTTACGGCGGCTTTTTAACACAAAGACAAAGATCCCCCGTATAGCCTTCACAGACTGTTGGGGCAAGTGCTGTTAGCGAGCACCTATGAAGGGCGGCACGGCACACGAGGGGGTGTGCCGCCAGCACCACGCCCGGCCGCCTTTGTCTCCCCATTGGCAATGTTCACACACCGTACCAGGTACTAATTTGAGGCTGAGTCGACCTAGGGGAGACCCAGGACCGGTTCAGATAATTGTCACCACTGGTGTTGGCCGTGAGCGGGAATCGAACTCAGGTCGCCGCGTTCGTAGCGCAGCGTAGCGCTAACCGCTACACTACCACAGCACAGCAGCTGACCAGCGTGCCAAACGATGGGTGCGAGCGTGCGCGTCCGTGCGATGGTAAAAGCCCTTCCCGGCGGCCCGGCGGAGCCGCCCCTGCGTTTACCCGGTCGCACACCGCCCGCGCCACCCGATACGCCGACGCTTCCCGTGCCTACGAGGGCCTCGACTCGCGATGGGTCGTGGTGGGGCGGTGTGGGGGGGGCGCGCGGGGGGGGGGTGGGAGGGTGGAGGGGGGGGAGTGGTGCCTCCACGCTGCGCGGGCAAAGCTTCGGTTTTCCAGGAAATCTGTCGCTTTGTCACGTTGCGCCAGCACTCGCTTGCGTCCGACCGCCGGGCGTCTCGTCTTGTCGGCGCCCGCGTCGGCGGGAACGCGCTCGCCGACACTCGCCGACACTCGCCAACACTCGCCGACACTCGCCGACACTCGCCGACGCTCGCCGACACTCGCCGACACTCGCCCGGCCGGCGTGGCGACGCGCGCCGTCTCGCTGCAGGTGCCGCAGTGGCGACGTGTTAACTAGCTCGGAATCCGGAGAGCACGGAGAAAAAGGCCTAGCTTACGAGGAGATGCACTTTTCATATCACAACATCATGGCCAGCAACAAAGAGCGCTAATAGGTGTAGCCGAAAAGGTAATGGTGCGGCCCTGAAATATCTTTCTCACGTCACTGCCGTCAGAAGGGCTTCCACGAGAGGGCACTCTGGAGAGCCCTTCTAGAGGGTGTTTGGCCTACTTTTCAATGCTGGTCGGACACCTTGCAAGAGGTATATGATTTAATTTGGCAAAACACAAAAATGTATAGAACAAATTATTAATTTTCTTGTTTTTTTATATTTACGTTTATACCACTGAAGAGTTTCCATTAATGACCCGCTTGATGCGCAGTGCGTTCAGCTGTACTCAATAGCGCCCATACTAATCGAGCGGTCCATTTAACATCGCACAAAGGGTGCCCCACTGCAAGTACAAAATCTCTCGGACATATCCACTGATTGGTCCTGTGCTAGGTTTCTTTGAATAAACCTCAAGAGATGCTTAGGACTGCACCCCATTCTCGCCCCCTGCTTCATACGATGTTAATTACCTCGCCTGGTATACAGGAAATCATGGGTTCGATCCCGACCTTGACACCTGCTGTATATTTGGAGTTTGCGTGTCTCTCTGTCCGTGGTAGCGTGGATTTTTCTCTGGGTCCTCCGGTTTTTCCCTCCACATTTAGAAACGAGCTAACATTTGTAAAACAACGTGCAGCGACTCTGACCAACTTTGCACGTCCGTCTTTCTCGGGATGGACTTCTCCCGACAGAGCACCTGGAAACGAAACCCTTCGACGACGGCGCTTTTCACGACGGAGTTTTACTCGAAGGTGAGTTGGTGGGAGCTACCGTCCCACGCTTTCTCTCTCTCTCTCTCTGTCTGCGGCGCTCCGACTCGTCCTGCAGAATGGGTCTTGCCAAGTTGTCGCGGTCGGTAGGCGACGTCGCTGCTGCTGTCTGTGTGTGTGTGTATCCCAACTGGGCAGTTTTAAGCGTGCGACCGTGGTCGTCCAGAACTTAGACCGGAGCACGTGTGACGACGCAACACCCCGATCGACAAATACGAAGGAGACATCACAGCGACGATGCACTCCGCTACTCCTGACGCGGTTATCTGGGCTTGGCCACCTGTTGTTGCTCTTGCATCTACATCAGCTTCGTTTTAAGGTTACCGTTTTTTTTATAGCCATGGGATGATAATGGGAGATGAAACCCATGCAAAACAAACTCCACACCGAAAGGCGCCCGGGTCGGGAATCGAACCGAGGCGCTTCGTGCTGTGAGGCGCGAGTGTCACCGCTGCGACCTCCACCCTGCCAACCCAAACTCATTGCACGTTTTGCACTCATTACATGCAAAGTGCTTTGCCACAAATGAACCACAATGCCTTGCTGCTGGTCTCGTCAAGGAGCATAAACCACCGTCAAGCTCAACTCAGGTCATCCTTGCAGCAGCGGCTTTTGGCTGCTAACCATCGAACTAAGACGTGTCACCGCATCGTGCCCTTTCAGATGCGCTTCTGCGGCCGTCTGGAACGCTCTGCCTTCCGATATTCGCAAGCCACTGGAGTTATGCACTTTTGAATACAGATTGATAACTCAGTTGCAAGTTGAACTGCTTTTCGTGTTACGTTTGTTGTCCTTTCACCGCACCTCCGATGAGCATTGTTGGCTGCGTACAGCGCAAAATAAGTTCTTCATGACACATACAAACCTCTTTGGCAACAGGTGCGCCCGCCACGCCCGAGCAGTGCTGTGCCATCGCGTCTGCCCCTCATTCATATTTAGTCACAGCATATGTTGCAAACGAGACTACGAGAACCCAACAGGGAGGAGAGGGCTTTTGTGGGAGCCCCGCGGTTAAAATTATTCGTGAATCCACATCCTCGCGCGATAATGCCTTTTGCCAAACTTTGGCAACAGTGTCCAATAATAATCCGCGCCGTACCAAAAAAATGCAAAATTGTCTCCTGTTTGAGGTGGCCAGCAGGTCTCTAAGAGGTCTGGAGCGCTGAGTCGGCGCCGCGCTGAGGCCCTGGGTTTGAATTCCAGGCTGCCGTGTCGGATGAAACCTGCTTTCTCCAGTGAGTAGCAGAGGTCGCAAACGGGTTTTGATACCTTACCCGTACCCGTACCCGGCCGCACCAGGGTCGCAAACGGGTACCCGTACCCGTACCCTACCCGATACCCGGCTACCCGTACCCGGCCGGGTATCGGGTAGGGTACGGGTACCCGATTGCGACCTCTGGGATGAAGCCATGTTGCAGGCGCGGCTGGGTTGGTGCTAGGAACTTGAATTGTGAGAAGAGACAAGACGTTGGGAAATGAGTGACAAATGGTTACTCACCAGTGACTCACGGCCTACCCGTACCCGGCCGCACCAGGGTCGCAAACGGGTACCCGTACCCGGCCGAGTACGGGTAGCCGGGTATCGGGTAGGGTACGGGTATCGGGTACCCGATTGCGACCTCTGGTGAGTAGCGAGTGGACGGTCCCAGCCCAGTCATCTGGAGGTGCGTCACCTGAGCGAGTGCAATGGTGCTGTTGCCTTCCCTTCTGTGCAGACCGGAGGTCACTTGAAGAGATCTCAGTGGTAGCTCCGTGATGTCCGCTTCCCTGGGGCGTTCTCTGACACTAAAGGGTCGCCCTGCTGTGCGAGGGATCCGAACGGATTCTGCGTCTCATGACGACGCGACGCTTATTGCCCAATCCGGATAAATTTGGGGAAAAAGGCGAAACATTTTCAACCGGTTTGCACCGTTGAAAATGCCGTTTCATCACTTCCACAAAAGCATACACTTCCACCGTCCAGTGTCGAACTTCTTTCGCACCTCATGCAGCCGGCCTTGCTAATCGGAGGTGCGACCACCGCCACCACCACCGCAGCCGCCACCGATTTTCACCGCAACTGGCGATCGACAAAACGTAATTTGCGAAAACCGGAGCATACACTGGCCGGCAGCGTTAGCGGAGACAATGATAAGATAGGATGCCGGCTGCTTTCCTGCGAAGCTATTTGCGGTTCCTACTCCACGCCGCAGAAATTTGCAACGAAGCGAGCGCCAATTTCTTTTTTTTTTCCCGCATGACACACGAGCGCAAGAACCGTCGGCGCACGACGGATTTTCACATTTTTTTTTTCACTCCCCCCCCATATCTCGGAGCGCGGCGGGGGTAATTAGGGTGCCGATTTTAGGCGTGGACCCGATTTCGTTATTTGCTCTGGGTCTCGGCCAGGAAGTGCAGGAAGGTGGGCTTGCCCCTCGATGGGAAGTTTACAATTGCCGTGCCATTGTGGAAGCGGTGGCGCTCCACCTCCCTGCGCTCCCTCCCCGAGCACGGCGCGCGAGTGCTCTCTCCGCTCCCAGTCGCGTGGTCACACCACCCACCCCTGCCCCCTTCTCCCCCCCCGCCCCCCGCCCCCCGCCCCCTGTTGCCACCGAGGTCAACTTTGGTCTCAAACCAGACCCTGGAGGCCAGCAAGGCTCATCTCCGAGCTTGACACACAACACGCACACGCGCCCCGTGCTGCCCGCGGAGATTGAGGATGGAACGATTTAACGCCTGTGGAGATTCGATGTAGTTACTGGGATTCGATTGAATGTTACGTTTCAAACAAACAAGCAAAAGTTGAACCCTGTTGTTTCTTAATCTTCGTTTTGTCCTTGGTCCGGATTGTGCCATCGGTTGCCGCGTCGTGAGATGGGGTATCCGTCGGGGTCTCTCGCAGAGCGCCGCAGCCGTGTTCGAAAGCGGCCCAAGGAAGCGGATATCACAGGTCCTACTTCCGAGAGCCATTCGAGTGGCGGCCACTTACTCACTCCTCGCGTGATCGACGTCGTGAGCGGGTGAAGCTAACGTGCTTCTGTGCTCGCTCGGTTGAACTTCAATAATTATTAGAAAAATTACCTTAGAACCTGTAACTTTAGAACCTTTATGCGAATTTTAAGTGAACGGGCAGGCAATCAGGGGTAGGGTGGAGCAAATGGAGCGGAGCCAATTTCGCTGAAGTGTTACTCGTGGTAATCACGTGACGAGTAGTCATCCACACCTCAACATACGTACATATGTGACGCAACCATCACGGACAAAGACAAAGGTCCCCCGTATAGCCTGAACAAACTGTTGGGGCAAGTGCCGTTAGCGAGCACCCATGAAGCCCGAAACGGCTCATGAGGGGGTGGATGGGCAGCACCATTCCTGACCGCCTTTGTCTCCCCAGTGGTGCTGTGTTTACCTGGTGCTGTGTTTACACACAGCACCAGGTACTCATTTGAGGCTGAGTCGACACGCACACGCACGCACATGTACACAAAGATCCCCCGTATAGCCTTAACAGACTGTAGGGGCAAGTGCTGTTAGCGAGCACCTATGAAGGCCGGAACGGTACACGAACGAGGGGGGTGGGTGGCCGGCCAGCATCACACCCGACCGCCTTTGTCTCCCCAGTGGCGATGTTTACACACCGCACCAGGTACTCATTTAAGGCTGAGTCGACCTAGGGGAGGCCCAGGACCGGTTCAGATAATCGTCACTGGTGTTAGCCATGTACACACACACGTACACACACGCACCGCATGACCACGACGTCACGTTCCACGTAACCTCAAGACAACGCACAAACAACTCCACGCCCTCGTGAGTAACACTTTATTATCAGGTGGCTTTTGGGCAGTGGACCTGCTTCGTAGCACGTAAAAAATAAACTCAGAAGAAGGTAGGTGGGGGGGGAGTTGACCATGTAAAACAAGTGCTGTTGCAGGCGGTCTCCGCTTTACGACGATCCGCTCGCACGATGTTCACGCGTCGCCGGCGCGGATCGATCGACAACGCGGAGACTTTGACTCACGGCGGCGTCTTCCAAACGGCGACTCCCGAACGCGTTCCAGCATGAGTCGTCCCCGGCGTGACTCGGCCGTGGAGCTTTCGTTTGTTCCCGAGCGTTGCTTTTGTATGTGGGGTTCTTTTTCTTTTGTAACCTGTCAAGACCCTGCTAAAACACGGCCGATGAAAGGGAGAGAAAAAAGAAAACGCAACACCATCGGCATGAGACGTCCCGACTGTTTCCACTGAACGCCGTCGGGAAAACGGCGGTCCGTGCAATTTTCGACGACGGGGTTACAGGAAAGCGTGGTAACGTCGTTAAAGCTTGGGGGGTGGAGGTGGCGCTGCCTATAATGTGCTATTTATGTGCTGTAAGGAAAGGCGATTGCCTGAAACGTCGCCTATTTTATATACAGGTAGTCCTCTACTTAGGATGTAGATGCGTTACGACGACCCCATCGTAAGTCGAAAATATCGTAAGTCGAAGATGGCCTAGCCTACCCAGGAGTCTTAAAGAAAGGTGATATGATAATTGTTTTTTTACCCTTTTATCTGGCAACAAAACTGACACCTTTTTTACGAGGAGTCATGTTTGCATAGACCACAATACCTGCAGTCATAATGCAAACAAAAACAAAAACCAATTATATATTTTTTACTGGCAAATGAGGTACCAATGGTGAGAATGGTGATAATTTATCAAAACAGAGCAATTTCCAGTACCGTACTGTATAAACTATATGCTGTATGTGATGATGTTTTGTGTTCCTTGATAATATCAGCAAGGTGGTTCATTTGTGGCGAGCGCTTTGGATGTAATTATGTCGTGATGCTGCATGTCGCCTCAATGGAAGGCAATATAAAGGAAGCTAAAACTAAACTATTTTTTATTTTGCCAGGTAAGGCCCACTGAGCTAAATATCTCTTTTTCAGTGGCCACAAATCATAGCTCAACGATGTGGCTTATCACGTGGAAATGTATAGCAGCCAAGAAACCTCGCACAGGA